GTAACTCGCGTTACTTGTAATGCGTTACCCCCAACACTGCTCATTGGCTAGTTTACAGTACAGTGACTCAGAAAGTAGACCAGACATTTTAATGGAAATCATGCAAATGTTATATAGAATGATGGGGAGTACAGTGGTATTTGTATGGGTGCCGGCGCTTATTGGTATCCAAGGAAATGAAACTGCAGATAAAGAAGCAGTTAAAAACAACATTAACTTCATTGTTAATCCAAGTAAGAATGAAATCAAGAGTATTAGTAAGAAAAGACTGAAGGAAAGGTGGCAGAAACAATGGGGTAAGGAGGAAAAAGCTCGGTGGTTTTGCAGAATTCAAAGGAAAGTGGGAGAGATGAGATAGTAATACCGAGGATGAGATTTGGACACACAAGATTAAATAGTACACTTTTTAAAATGGGTAAACATGATACAGGAAGGTGTGAATTTTGTAGACAAGAAGAAACATGTTATATTGTACTGTCAGAAATATGAGACTGGAAGATGGATTATAATGCAAAATTTAGAAAAAATAAAAATGCAGATATATTTTACAAAATAACTCAAGGGATGAAGGCTATAGTTTTATTTTTCAGTTACTTAAAACAACTAATTTGTGGGTGAGAATTTAAAAAAATAATAATAAAAAAGGGGGGAAGGAAGTAAAACACGTTTTTGATCCACACGTTTTGAACACCATTTTGTTGTTTGTCAAGCGCCAATAAAATTTCAAGAAGAAGTCTCGCGATAGTTCCCGCGGGATCTGCGCTCTAGTGTTTCCGGTAGCCTGCCGAGAGCAGCTGGGTCGAAACTCACCGCGCCCTCCTCTTCCTCATCCTCATCCTCCTCTCCCGGGACATTCCGCTCACCGGGACCGGCTTCACTCGCCACGGAGTTCGGGAACTCATTTTTCCGTCGTATGAGAGAGACCGTGAGCGCTGACGGACGCGTTAAACCTCAGCAGAGACACATAGCGATGCTAGCAGGCTAGTCGCGAGAAATCAAAACAATGTTTATTTACTCCCAGTTTATTTATACTCGTTTTATAAAGTGAACTCGCTTTTTTATGTGTGTTAGTGACAGTAGCACGTGTTGTTTATAGCTTAACAGGAGATTTTAGAGTTAGTTTGTTATCTCTGTATAATATACTGTATAGTATAATATAAGAGTCCGTGTCACATTAGTGTGAATTACTGACTGTCACTCAGTAGGGACATTCATGTGCACCTAGTGTTTTAATATAAGAATGATCAGATGTGGATAGTAAACAGGCTGAGGAGTTTTGTGTGTAATCAGACTGATCTAGGAACTTAATGAGCTCGATGACAAGCTGTAAATCAGAGTTATTGTACAGTAAAGCTCAGTCTGAGCTCGCCTTACATTAAAGGTCCCGTCAGCTGTTTAAAAACCAGCCATGGCTCCGAAAAAGAGACCACAGCCCATAGTTATAACCGGATCCGGAGAGGCACAGACGACCTCTACATCCATAGATGCTGCGTCAGAGTAAGTCATAAAGCTGTGAGTAGTCCAACATGGAAAGAGAAGCTCGTATGCATGTTACTTGATGTCTTTTTCTTTATTTATTCAATCTCAGAGCGAATCTGGAGACCCTGCAGAAGAAGCTAGAAGAGCTGGATTTGGACGAGCAGCAGAAGAAGCGTCTGGCAGCTTTTCTCACGCAGAAAGCCAATCTGGGCGAACTGAAAGACGACGATTTTCAGCATATCTGTGAGCTGGGAGCTGGAAACGGAGGTGTGGTTAATAAAGTGTGCCACAAAACCTCTGGCCTCGTAATGGCCCGGAAAGTGAGTTGCCAGCGTTTATCATTTGTCATTTTCATCAGAAACATACTGACTCGTTGCTTAGTTTGTCAAAATGAACCCTCATCTCAGAAAACTTCTCATTTCAGCTTTTTAACCTTCCAACTGACTTTCATAGTAAGTGATGTGTCTTTAAAGTTCGCATCACCCTGCTTCCCTCAACAAAAACCCAAAAGCATTTTGGATTAGTGCAGAAAATCAGCTTTGTGGCTAGGGCTGTGCGATATGGACAAAAAAACCCCATCGCGATTTCTTTGATAAATTGAGATTTCGATTTTACTCACGATTTTGACACACACAGACATGCTCAGTGTGAATTTGAGACATATTTCCAAAAGAAAACCAATTAGAGCTTTATCAAGAAGCTGTAACACAGGGCTGTCCAAACTCGGTCCTGGAGAGTTTAGCTCCAACTTGCCTCAACACACCTGACTGGAAGTTTCTATGCCTAGTAAGAGCTTGATTAGCTGGTTCAGGTGTGTTTAATTAGGGTTGGAGCTAAACTCTCCAGGACCGAGTTTGGACACCCCTGCTGTAACATGTCTCTAGAACAGACATAAGGCAAAATAATCACTAAGTAAAGGTGTAACAAAATGTCTCTAGAATAGACATATGGCAGGAAAAAATAAATAAATCCCGTGTCCAGGGATTTTTTTTTTTGCCATGCATTGTTTGCCTCAGATGCTGAACTAGATTTGTTGCGCCAAGTTCACACGTACTCCGTCTGCAGTGCGTATACAGTATGTGTATGCGGTGCAGAAGCAGCACGGACTCATTGTGCTTTCGCACAGGACGCGTTTGCAGTCCGCTCCTGATCCACAAACACAACATTTATCAATTATTTTGATTTCAAATCCAAACGTTGTTTCTGAAAATGCTTTTTCAGCATTGTTATTCTACATATTCACGTGTAAACTCAAAAAATATAACTTTGTTTAACTACCTCCACTAGTGCCATCTATTATTGCCTTATCTAAAAGTGCACTTTTCCTTGTTTTAAATCTAGCCAAAAAGTCATGTGTTGACTGAAACAGTAGACTTTAGTTATATGCATTTATGGTGTGATTACTACATTTCCATGTCAATCCATGTTATTTTTTACCGCGAATAATACGCAGTCACTTTAATTCAGCACGTGCAGCACAGCAGAAATAGACTACTGGAGCGCACTGCCGGACCGCAATCGCATGCAGTGTGAACGCTCTGATCCGTTAACATGAGCGTGGACTAAATACGCACCACAGACGCAGTGTGTGAACCTGGCGTTGCGTTTGTATGCCCGCCCAGTCTGTTCTGTTCTCGTGCTCCATTTAGGCGTGCTGGATTCTGATTGGTTCGGATAGCTATGGAGGTCGGGGGCGCGGAAAATCGTGCTGTAAAGTGATTTAGAAATGCATGCTCAAATCGCGATTTTATGACTATTTCGATTAATCGCACGGCTCTATTTGTGGCCCACAAAAAATGTTTCGTTCATCATGATGATCTTCACAAATGAGCATGACTTTTTTGGTCGCAACAACCAGGGCTGCCCTCGACTAAAGATTTTTCTAGTCGACTAGCAGTCTTTTGGCAATTAGTCGACTAATCGCACGTTTTTATTAATAAACCATATAATTCATAATAATTAGCCTTTAATTACTTAAAGCCTATCAGCACTCAAGCACACGCATAAAGCTTGCCACAGCGCACTGCAGAAGTAATGATTATGAATAGGGCTGGGCAGAAAAATCGATTTTTCGATTAATCGTTTTTTAAAGTGACGTTGATTCGATATCGATTTTCAAAAGCCGCAAATCTATCTTTTCCGGTATTTATTTCAGCACACATTTAAAACAAGATCTGATGAACGTGAATCTTATCATTAGTCTCCTCCACTAGATGTCACCCTTATTTATCTTGCGCGATGTTGCAACAGAAAGCCTGTCATTCATTCAGCGCTTATCTTGGCCATACGCGTGATTCGCAATGCTCAGGTGAAGTGCTATAGTAATACTATAAATCTGTGGAAGCATTTGATATCACGCATAAGGCACCATGATTTCCGCAATGTATGAATGGCAGATGGCGCGGCGCACTGTTTTGTTTACTACACGCATACTAAAGCGCGGATGACGCTTGCAGTGTTTTCAGCTTCTGCCGTCTCACTATATGATGAAATGAACACGAATGTCATCTCCAGCTGCTCTGAGAGTCACTTCATTAGCATTTACCGTTTCATTTGAGAAAACTACCGTCATATCACACACAGCAGCTGCAAGTTCTTCACGGCAACCCGTCAAAATAAAAGTTTAGTTTAACATTAAGAAACTGTCAGAATATATTACTATTTAGCAGTCTGAAGACTCAATGCTACTACTGCTAATAAATATTAATAAATCTTTATTTTTAAAGAAATAATCACATCTGTTTTCTTTAATTTTAACAGTAAACCTGTGCTGTTGTGCAGCACTTTGTTTGCCAAAAAATAAATTTTATTGATTAGGATAAATTAATGTTTTATGCCTACATCTGATTACCTGAAAAATTAAGAACATTTTATAGGTCCCTATTATTGTTTAAAAAGGACCCTATACAAAAAAAAGAATAGGTTTAAAATACAGGCATGTGGTTCTTAATTTGTTTTTATTAATTCACCATTTATAAACTGATGTTTACGGTTCATTTTTTAGAAATATCAAAAGCATTTGTATTAACTATATTCACTGAGTGTAAACAAGAAATCGAGAATTGAATCAAATCGAGAGCTTGCAAATTGAAATCAAATCGAATCGGGACATCTGAAATCAATACCCAGCCCTAGTGGAAAAAATTTCAGAGTATTTTATGTGAGTTTATTTAGTGAGCACGCTACTATTCAGCTTCCACACTCCGCACAAACACTTGAACAGTGCACATTTTTCTAGGTTAATGTTAGAACGAGCGAAGCGACAAAACATTTTTCTCATTGACTTAGAGGGCAGCCCTAACAACAACTTACTTGAAAACATTTTCCCTGAAAGTTGTGAGTTTGCAAGAGCGAGATTATAAACATGAACTAGTGAGTGGATGAGTTTACCTGTTCAGCGTGACGTTTAATGTCTAACAACCTCTGTATCCCATTTAGACAACTTTTTCAAGACAAGTAAAAGCCTTAAAAAACACAGGGAGGAATTACTGAAATATTTTATGTCCTAAAATCAGTCATGAAAATATCTCGAGCTTGTGTGAAGCACAGACCTTATTTCCGTCATTTAACCCAAAACAAAACGAATCAAAAGTGCTAAAATGCATGTTTCTGGGTTTTGACCTCAAAAATTCATCATCCTGTCTCTGTTTATCCTAAATGTTTTCTGTTCATTTATACAAGCTGAAGGATGAGTTGAAATTATTTTCTCTTCTAATTTATGTCATGTCATGATGCTGTCCATAGACATGATAAAAATAAAAAGGTTCACATTTAAAACTCTACACGTCTATGGCTACGTCGTCTACATTAATACAGAGACTTTGAAAACTGTGTTTTCGTTTTTAAAATGCTCTCCATCCACACGTGTTTTCCAAAAGTTTCTCATCCACACTGAAACGTCAGAAAGCGTTAAATTCGCCTAACAGTGCATGTGTAAGACCTCATAAAAGTTGATACAGATGGGACAGACAATGAGTTTTCATGCAATTCTTCTGGCGGGATCATTTTATGTATGGAAATATCTTATACACTGATGCATCACTCACCATTATATATATTGATCTAAAATGCCTCCTCATGTTTTGCCGCAGGTCAGCAATTGTGAGTAAATTTCCTGTCATCTTTGCTGGACTGTAATATGAAGAGTGTACAAAGCAGCATCTTTAGCAACCGTGTGAAAATGAGTAGCACATAACGGGCACAATACCGGTCGATTGGTACAATATGCATCTCATGACTAAACATGCATTGTTTTCAAAAGCCTCCATTTTCACAGTCCACACTACAACAGAGTTTTCACATTTATCCACTTTGGAGAGCGTTTTCAAAAAGCTCTGTTTTCCTTGACAAAAACGCTGTCTCGGTGTGGACCGAAGGCCAAAACGGAGAGGAAAAAATGCGTTCGAAAACGTATTCGTGTGAACAAAGCCGATAAGTGTTGCATGTGTTTCTTTTCTGTGTTTCTGTAGTTAATTCATCTGGAGATCAAGCCAGCCTTCAGGCATCAGATCATCAGGGAGCTGCAGGTCCTGCATGAGTGTAACTCTCCGTACATCGTGGGTTTCTACGGGGCGTTTTACAGCGACGGGGAGATTAGCATCTGTATGGAGAACATGGTGCGTTTAGAGGCTTTTTTTGTCATCTTTTATGACTACACTAATTCCTAAAAAATTCAGACAAACCCCTTTGAGCTAAAATATTTATTTGTAGCCCCCCCTGAGATTCTAAGTTTATAATTTCACAATTTAACAACACAATCACTTTTTTGTGACTCTGATGTTGATTAACGATCACATGACATTCAGGTCCATAAAATATTTAAGCTTTTTAGTTAGTGTTTTATTCTAATATACACTACCAGTCAAAAGTTTTTGAACGGTAAGAAGTGCTTTTAAAGAAGTCTCACCAAGCCTGCATTTATTTGATCCAAAATACAGCAAAAGC